CATTCTTCCTTGAATATGTAAGATTTATTGTGAATCATCCATTTGTAAGAACATAGAAGTGACTATCCCATGGAGTGAACTAAAGATGAAGATTATTTGAATTTTGCTAGGCTAGCACCCAACACCATCTCACACATACTCTACCTTGTGGATATATCTCCTTCCTATCCAGCAAGATATCTGTGTGAGTCAGAGTGAACGCCAGTATGTTATAGATCCTTACTATGGTTTTCTAACACTTACTTCAATTCCTCTCACTAGGAAATTTAGCTGGCAAACTGATTAACATCTACTGTTTTCTCCCCAATATGTCACAGAAGACAGACAAATGCTTTTAGATGGTTTTTGTACATTTAGTTGTTGGTGGAAACATGGTTGGTTGGTGGTTGTTCAGTTGGTTTGGTTTGATCTGATTGCTTATAAGGTACATATTCATTTCCTCATTGAATCCAAACTCATTTGCAATTCAGTGTTTTCACCTGAGGATTCCATTTGGTATTGAGGCCTGTCTTGACAGGCCTGCAAATATTCCTGATCCCTTATTGTTTCCTGGTTTGATGTTCATTCCGCAGATAGCATTACTCAGAACTAAAGTTTGGAGTTATACTTGACTGGTTTCATAAGAGTCTCCTTATTGTTCTTTTTTTTCCTCCTTGTTGATTTGGGTTATTTTCAGAGATAAGAACTATGAATATATGACTTTAATTCAATATTATCATTGCCTTTAATGAATTATTATCTAGTCCCTATTTCTTCTAAAATTCTATCTGATTATGCATAAATCTCCTTTTGTTTGCATGTAATTCATTCTTAAGAGGGAACTGAAGAGGACAAAAACTCTTAGTGCATAGAATATTAACAAGTGTTACTAATCTATTTTGTATTCATAGACTGATACATTGCTTCTTTATAAATTGATAACAATACTGATTATCATACTCTATACTATCTATTAATTAATTACTGTAAAGTTTGTGATGAATACTAAGTATTTGTATTTAACAGAAGATCTTGCCATCTAAAAATTCTTCATGGTAATTTCTCCAAGTTATACAGCTCCTAAAGGAAACAAAAATTAAAATTGCTTTGGTGAAAAATGACACTACTGAGATTTTATTTTTATTAAATTCAATATTAACTATTATAAATAATTTGTAATTACTTGGCATAGAAAACAATATATTCATGCTTGTGTAAGTCTATAAAGTTTCCATTATATATTTATTGATTATTCTTTCCAGTCATAGTCAATAGAATTTCAGGGATGCTCATTTATTTTCATTAAGTACCTATATTAAAAATGTTACACAACGTAAAAAATGCTCATATTATTTCAGATAGTTTCTAAAAAGTACTAGAGTTACTACTAACGCTCTTTCATAATGCTCCTGACTCCTCAAGAAAAAGTAATTTACTATGGCATAAAATTTACTAACTGGCAAATTATTATGGTAACAAGATAAATATTTCACTTATACTGGAAGTTTAAAACATAGGTAAAAAACTACTAAAAACCTAGGATCATCAAAAAAGAACTAGAACTAATAAATAATTCAGATTTAATTATATACTAGTAAAATAGATGAAAAAGTTTCTTAATTTTTATTTTAATTCAGAAAAATAACATTAATATCCATTCCCTTTTCAACATGGAAGTGTAAGAGCTCAAAAGGAACAAAACCATCAATGAGTATCTCAAACTGTATAAAACCTTTGATATTTTATCAGAATGATACCTGGAAATTCTGTAATTTTTGAATCGAGGTAATCCCATAGAATATCTCAAACCGATGCACCTCATTTTAAGAGATATATGTTAAGTACAACATGGTAAGTTCAAATTCTGCCACAATGGTTAGCAAACATGTGGCCAATAACGTTTTCCATTTTTCCATTCCCATGTGTCTATCCTCCCCTTGTTGATTCTGCTGTTGTGCCTGAAAAATACCTATGCATTGTGTCTGAAAAATATGGAAGTGCCACCTCAGAGTCTGTGCATTTTCTGTATTTGTTTTCCTGAAAACTCTCCCTTCAGATAGATTGATAGATGATACATAGGTGACAGATAGACAGACAAGTAGGGTAGAGGTAGATATAGATATTCAGATCCACTTGATTTCAATTTTATGAAATATATAGTTAAATCTCTTGTGTGCTTCTTTATAATGAGTATCCTATGCACTTGAACAATGAAAACTTATGAGTTGAGACTTATTTTATAAATTTTGATGCATGTAATAATTTGAGATAATTATCAAATGCTCTAAACATTCTCCAATTAATTAGAGACAAATAAAACTCAGGTGGCAATTGCTTCTCTATGGCTCTGTGATAAATTGAAACAAGCAGTACTATGTGAAGATAGGTAAACAGGTATTGAAGTTTCAGGATTACCATCTATAGGGCATATGAAATTGTGAAAGTGAATTATTGCCCAATGATTTCTAGTTCATATGCTATAAATTGGGGAGCATAAATACAAAGCATTTCGAGAATGGAATGGATAGCATTTTTCCTAGAAACTGGCATATATTAAGGGCACAATGTGTATGATTCAACTCCATGTTGGTATATTTTCAATTTCCAAGCCTCACTCCACATTTAAGTATTTCCATTAACAGTATTTTATATACACAAAAATATTTCAACACATTCAACTAACTATAACTTACTTAGGTTTGTTTACTTGCAGATATTACCAGTGTCTTTATTTTCCCTTAGACACCAAATATAACATAAAATGAGATTTTAACTACTTTTGGAAGTTTAAATGTTGGAGATAATTGTCACAAGTTCATTTCAATATTCTTTTGTTTTTTATTTTTTTATTTTTATTTTTATTTTTATTTTTGAGGAAGATTAGCCCTGAGCTAACTACTGCCAATCCTCCTCTTTTAGCTAAGGAACCCTGGCCCTGAGCTAACATCCGTGCCCATCCTCCTCTACTCTGTACATGGGATGCCTACCAGCAGGGCTTTTGCCAAGCGGTGGCATGTCCGCACCCAGGATCTGAACCAGCAAATCCCAGGCCTCTGAGAAGTGGAACGTGCGAACTTAACCACTGGGCCACCAGGCTGGCCCCTCAATATTCTTTTAATAACTAGTATTTATTGTCCCATATCAATATATTACAATGAACTTAGGGATATTTCACCTACTAGATCTAAATCTATTGACAGAAACTTTAACAGAAAATTTATTTAATGGAAAATATTGTTTAATGAAAGATAGACTAGTTCCTACCTTCCTTATTCCTTACCTTCCTTATACCCTCCCTCCTTCCTTCCTTCTTTCCTTCGAGAAATATTGACTGATTTTCTATCATTTGGGAGGCCATCTTCCATGAGATGAAGATACAGTGGTCAATAAAACAAATTCCTGCTCACAGTGTACGTGCATTCCAGTTGTGAGACAGGCTATAAACTAAACAAATAAAGTAGACATTTTCTGGATAAGTACTACAAAAATGAAATAATTTTATTGAGTAGAGCATGACTGGCAAAAGTTCACTGGCAAGAAAAACTTTGCAAGAGATGGTGATTTATGAAAGCACTCATGAATTATGTGAAGGAAACCTCATGTATAGATGTGAGGAAAATAATTTTAGACGGATATTTTAAGACCCTGAAAGAGATATGAGCTTAGAATGTTCTGAGCGTAACCGTGGGGCAATGGGGTAGGGCGACCGAAGCATGGTGAACAGGGAGGAGGAAGTGGGGGCTGAACTTGGAGGAGGAGGCAGCAGCGTTTTAACTCAGATGAATGGGTTCCACTGAGGGATTTAAATGAGGAGCAGTAACGTCACAGTCAAATCTCAAAAATGGCACTCTGGCCTCTGTGTGAGGGTTGTGCTCTAGTAAGGCCAAAGAGGAAGAAGTCAGTAGTGTTCAGGACCTGTTGCAATATTTAGGAGAAAGAAGTTGTTGGCTTGGATTAATGTAGTAGTGCTTGAGGTGGAAAAAGGTAGTCAGATTGGAAAGAGGTTTTGACAGTAAAGACAAACAGAATTGATAATAGATGGAAAGTTGGCAAAGAGAAAGAGGGGAAAGAATAATCATTTCTAGGATGTTGATTTGCTCAATATTTTGGCTGTGGTACCATTTCCTCACATGGACAGAATTAAGGGTCCCTAGGTTTTGTAGGGAGGGAGGAAACCAGAATTTACTTGTGAATTAAGCTGCGAACCCTGGGGCACTCCAATGTTAAGAATGTTAATGGAGGAAGAGAGGACAACAGCAAATCAAGTAAAGGAAAAGCCCAGGGGAAGATGAAAGGAAATTTTTTTTCAGAAAATTATCTTTCCCTAATGATATTGAGATGTCAATTATAAAGAGCAAAATTAACCATCCAATTTGGTGAGGTGGAGGTGGTTGATGGCTTTGACAAAAAAGTTTAAATGGAATCATGGTAACAAAAGCCTGATAGGAGTCATTACAAGCAAAATATGAGATAAGAAGCAGGGATATCTAATAGAATCTAGCCTTTAGGGTAATTTTGAATTGACTCAGTATCAGAGAAATAAGCTAGTAACCCAAGAGGGAATGTGAAACATAGGAGTATTTCTCTCATTTTTTGTTTTTATTTTACTTTACAGAAGATGTATCTGTAAACTTTTAAAGTGACATGGAAAAGAGGTAGAGATTGTTGGTAGAGGAGAGAAGATGAAATAAACACAAGCGTGAATACAAGAATAACTGTAAGAGTGCCTGCAGCATTTATGTATTAGTCAAAGTAACTTCTTCTACAATACCTGTAAAACAAGAACAGTGATGCCGGGGTCCAGCCTCGGCAGAGTCCAGGTTCTCGTGGGAGAGACGGCGTCGGCGAAAGTGTAAGCACTAGACGTGAGACTTGAAGCAGTTGCAAGCAAGTCCAATTTATTTCGGGGACAGGGTACACTTATATAGGGAAAAATCCCACGAGGTGGTCTAACTATTGTCGTCATGGGAACAAGAGATGAGGGGCAGTGCGTCACTAAAGGTAATAATCCAAGGTGGTTATCTACATCCAGATGTGCAGCATACATAGCGATTGTTTAGGAAGAGGTTACATCGTTTCAGGGTCTTCAAAGAAGTTAGGAGGACAGCGAGTACATAATTAATGGTATATAGACCCCCTCATCCTTGGGGGCTGCTGTTTGTTTTTTGAGATATGTTTATTGCCAGTTCTGCCTGTTTTTACAAGGCTTCCAGGACAGAGGGAAGACGTTAATCAGTAATAGGCTTTAGAAAGGAGGACAAAGGACTCTTCTTAAAGAATTATGTTCCCTGGAGAAGTGCCTTGCACGATTCTCCTTCCATTGCCAGACCTTGTCACAATACGATGGCAGCTAGATTGGGGGAATGCTTCCCACACAGTGAGGTGTGTAATTTTGAGTGGAAAGGAAAGCATATGGAATAACTTATTGGAGAGTAGGCAAGTGAATTGATTAATGAGATGTATAAGAATATTGGATACTGGTGAGTATACAGTCACAGTTTATGATAAAAAATGTCTACTAGATTAATCCTCATAGCAAGATGTGCTGCTCCAACCATACAGGAGAAGGTCATTGTATCGGCAGGTATGTTGGAGAGAATGACAATTGCACTTATGATATAAGTAAATAAATGAATTTAGCAATAGAACTTAGAATTTGTGTATTTATGGAAAAAGTAATATGTGGACACAAAGTTTAGTGAAAACGTAGTGAAGTCACCATGTTTAAGGATGCACGTGTGCTAAATAACTGCTGAATTGAGGGCTGACCTGGTGGTGTAGCGGTTAAGTTTGCATACTCTGCTTTGGCGGCCCAGAGTTTACAGGTTCAGACCCTGGGCAAGGAACTATAAACCGCTCATCAAGCCATGCTGTGGCCACATACAAAATAGAGGAAGCCTGGCACAGATGTTAGCTCAGGGCCACTCTTCCTCAAGTAAAATGAAGAAGATTGGCAATAGATGTTAGATCAGGGTCAATCTTTCTCACTAAAATAATTAAAAAAATTACTGAATTGGAAATGAATTATATGGAAATATAGGTGGTTGTGGACAGAACTAGACATTTTGAAATTAAGGTTTTTTTGTTTTGTTTTTTGCTGAGGAAGATTAGCCCTGAGCTAACATCTGTTGCCAGTCTTTCTCCACTTTATATGTGGGTTGCCACCACAGCATAGTTGACAAGTGGTATAGGTCAGCACCTGGGATCCAAACCTGTGAACCAGGGCTGCCGAAGTGGAGCTCGAAAACTTAACCACCACACCACGGGTCCAGCCCCAGAAATTAAGATTTATTTGTTTGTTTGTTTGTTTTTTTTGAGGAAGATTAGCCCTGAGCTAACATTGCCACCAATCCTTTTCTTTCTTCTGGGGAAGATTGGCTCTGAGCCAACATCTGTGCCCATCTTCCTTCATTTTATATATGGGACGCCTGCCACAGCATTGCTTGATAAACAATGCATATGTCCACACTCAGGATCTGAACTGGCAAACCCCGGGCTGCTGAAGTAGAGCATGCAAACTGAACAGCTTCACCACCAGGCTGGCCCCAGAAATTAAGGTTTTTAAGAGGTTCAGTTATTAGAACAATCTAATTTAAGACATAGCCACGAAATTGGGTGATTGAAATTGAATGGAGGGACATAATTGTGGAAATTGAGAAGATTAAGGAACCTAAAGACTGAAGTGTTGTATGGATAATCTGCATAAAAGGTGACATTAGTAAGATTTCAATGCCATCTATTAGAGATACTGAGAAGTTAATAATATATTCAAGGAATGTGGGAAAGCAACCAAGTGATGTTATTTGAGGGTGTGTGTTTCAAAAGAACTAGGATTCTTTTAAGGGAGAAGGCAAAAGGGAAAAAGAAATACCTAGAGTTATAATGAGAACAAAGAAAACACTGGATTTTCTACAGTCCCCATGCAACATGGATATGGAAAGAAAAAAACTGTCTCTGCCTGAGCAACTTCAAGAGAAATATGGCCCTTTGAGAAACCAAGCGTTCAGTTAGAAAAGAAGAAAGCAGCTATAGGAGAGGAGTTTATGGATATATAGGACATTAGTCTTTGCAGACCGAAAATTCCAGAGGACAGCAATGGAAAAATGGTAGCAAGCTCAGCTAATTGATGATGACTTGGTCAATTACGCTTTTGCTTGGCACTGAATTAAATAGGGGGAGGTAATCCATGACAGGATCAACTTTGATGGTCTCTCATGGTCTTGGCGTGATCTTGGAAGAGTTTGGTATCTACATTTTAGTTTGATAGATGCTCTTTGGTTGATGATCATCTCTCATCCCTTTCCCACCACCAGGTTTTTAGATATTGGTGAATTGGAACAGGAAGCATGGAAGCATCTACCCACTTCCATCTCCAAGGATTTCTTCACTAGAAACGGAAATATAAACTGACTGGCCAATTACCAAACAGACAATAAAGGAGAAACAAACCCCATAGTTAAAGACAGGAATACCTTTTCTAAAATTCAGCTGTCGGTGGAGCTCCAGTACCCACTGGATGCTGTTTACCTGGAAGTGAAGAATCATTTAGGTTTTGCCTAAATATCTCTGTGCTATAACTCCTGAGAGTTCATTCTTCTTTTTTGTAATGCAAGTGTCTGACTTAAGCTTTGATTGCCTAGGCTTCCCTTTCAAAGATAGCTATCTCAAGTAAAAACATGGCCAGCCACACAAGTAGATAAAGAGTCCGGCGTGTTGCCCACCCCAACTTGGTTGATTGTGATAATTGAGCATTTTGGCCAATTGTTTTTTCTCTTCCCGTGCTTTAAATTCCCACTCCCACATTTTAACTCAACCAATAAAGAGTGAGCCTGCAAAATTCTAGGGCCCCACTCTCAACCCCAATAAAAGCAGAACCCCTTTCTTTCTCTCTTTCCCTGTGAGCTCTGTGTGTGACCCCACATGTGCCATGTAATTTCTAGTACCTGTAAATAATAAACCTTGTCTTTTTCAAAATTTCCTGATGGTTATTGCTGAGGGCATCTTGCAATCATAATAAGAACCCCAAGGGCCGGTCCAGCCAGAATAGGCTAACACAAAACAACCTCACGTAACATAACCTTTGTTTTTTGGTGGAAGACATCTAGTTCCCCTCCTCCACCAATATGTTTTTGCTGTGGGAGAGTGTTATAACTTTTCTTTTTTGGGTGTTTATGTGGGGATTATTAGAACAGTTTGATTTTCTCTCTGCCGCTATAATTAAGAAAGGAGCCAGAGTGAAACCCCTCTATGGTTTTCTTTCTTTTGTATCTGCCTCTCGTTATGGGGTTGCTTTCTGACTCATCTCATCTCCTAGGAAAATAGCTGTGCAAGTGACTAAATAAATAAGTTTCTTCAATCCCATTAGGAATATATTTAAAGTTACATTCTCTGATCAGATTTAGTAGTAATAAGCTTACATATTTTTTCTGCTAATGTTCTGGTTACTGTGTCATATCTTACTATTTGTTCCAGTCATGGGCTAAAGTGTTATATTTTTTATTCTGTACCTCACTAAACCCTAAATATTATCTCTGTAAATAGTCCCAGAAATACTCTAAATAGTAATTCTTATTTGATTTTACTCTAGGTATATACTTAGATTTAACTACTTCCTTTTTCAGCCCTGTAAATTAGTCTATATATTTTTACAGGAGCTATTTGGACAGTTTAATTTGTAATAAAACAACTTCCTTATTCCTAATATAATTTATTTTTGTCTGCATGTCTGTATTCCCACTCCTAGAATTGTCCATTTATCATGGTGAGTGAGCATGGGGACCACCATCACCTCCCACCAAGAGTCAAGTTGGTCCTTCCCAAAAGCCCCAAAAACAATCTCTGCAGGGTCGGATTTCAGTGTATTCCTCAAGTTCTGAATTATTCAACCTTATATAATTAATAATTAATATAAGATATTAACAGTATGATTCATATGGAGCTGAGACAGCAGAGCCTCATCTCTACTTCTTTATATTCTTCCATAATGAGAGAGAGAAAATGACCGCGTGACTTTTATGAATGTTAGAAGTGTGGCTTCTCATATATTGTGAGCAATTGCTGCAATTAGACAAACACACACTATCCACAGAAAATAAAATATCATGCAGACTCAATGCAATTTGAAGACATGCTCAGAGAAACATTATTGTGGGAGATTTAGCACTAAGTACATTTTAGGCAAACTTTTGCATTACGTTGTCACATAGTTGATATTTGTGATGATTCCACAAAATCTCCTTTTCTCATCAGAACTGTTGTTTTCAATTTGCATAAATAAGTTATTTTTATGTAGTTTTCTTAGGATCCATGAAAATACTTGCACTCTGGTGTATACAATATTCAACCTCGTTTAAAATTGAAAACTGCTTGTTCTTTGGATATAATTTATTTTATTTTCTGGCATCCATTTGTCGGCCCTTTACCGTTTCAAATATCTTAAGTCCAACTTAACGTTAAAAGATCTAACAATTTGTTCAAATTAGCTATATTTCTCTTTGCCTCTTATCAGGCTTCAAATGTGGGTTTAAAAATATTTTTCCTAAGGCTAAAAAAAGAAATCAAAAACTGTAACTGATTCTTACGATAGTGGCTGTACTCTTCCACATCCTGATTCAAGCATCTTTAAATCTTCCTATTATAAAAATTCATGTCACATGAAGGATGGGACTACTGTGAGTTTACCCATGATATTTTTAAATAAGTATACATATTTAAAGTAACATGTAATATATAGATATAAATGTGATTATATATTAGTTCAACCTGAAGACTGTCATTGAAATTCATATATTTTTAATGAATCACGTAACTTAATTATGGGCATCTTAAAAAGTCTATAAACTAATTTAAAAGTAGTATTGGTTAATGTTTCTTTTAATATATGATAAAACGTTTTCTATTTAGGCTTGTGATGGGAAAACACAAATTGTTGTTTCAATCTTTGAAGCTCATGGTTACTGGATGGTCTATAATGGTTAGGGACTGATCTGTAAATCACTAGTTCACAGCAGAGGTGGTTTTTTTTTTTTTAATTCTGGAGAAATAATCAAAATTTCTCAGAAAGAATAAATCTCTAGAGAAAAATGAATGAGTTATAATCAAAATAGCATTCCACTCAAATAAATATCCAGTGTGATTATATAGGTCATGCTGGACATCATAGAACTTGTTTGTATAAAGTAGATGTTTGCTGGGGACCTTTCATCTCTATTAGAAAACTATACTTGTGTATTTGTATATGTTATTGGAAGCTTTGATGCTATTTTTCATCTGATAGGTTTTCTTCATAATTACCTCCTAGATTTAGTTATTTCCATTGCTGCCAAACTTCCCTATCAAGGCCTGCATCTCTGATATTTGGCTCATTTCACTGATGCCCTAAAAGACAAAAAAGATCTTTCAAGATTCAATCTTGGCATTCACAAACAATGTCCAGATCTTGTATTTTCCATTCCCATAAGTCTAGCACACCAGCAAGTTCAGAAATATTCAAATTTGTGTTAGTTCAATTTCTGAAGGCGTTTGAAATATTGCAGGGGAAATTAAAAAAACATAATCTGGGCTTATCTAGAATTTCTCTTAGGCCAACTAAAGGAATACACTTTAAATTCTTAGGACTTAAGAAGATGGGGTTAAATGTCCTAACACATGCTTCTGGCTATTTGCATTAGCTTAAAACAGACTAATCAACCTACTGTAAACAACTAGGAAAATCAAATAGAATATATATTAAAAATCTGTTTGAAGGCAGAGAAGAGTTAACAAGGCAACCAAAACTTGAGGAGACAATATCTTCGTGTAAGGTCTGAGGCTGACATTCTGTGCTACATATATCCTTGAGCCATTCACTTATTTGAATACAACCAGGAAAAGACACAGATGCTGAGGAGAAATGTTCACAGGCTTACAAGTGTTAGAATCAACTAAAATGGACCTCAGGTCCTTGTAAGGTGGAAGGAAATTAGTAAATACCCAAGGTTTTTGAAATCTTTGAGAAGACACATCTGAGGTGGGAGGTGAAACAGAATTGTACTAGTCTTTACAAAGAGTTAACCTCAGTTTTGAATCAACTCAATTTCCAATTGGATTATTGTGGTGTGCTCCTACATTATAGTCATGAGTCAGGGGAAATATAAACCATTCCCAAATTCCTATGGAAATCTGGAGGCAAAAATCAGACTTTGGGTGTGGCAACTTAGAGATCAATGATAAACAAATACACATTCTGCTGACACTCATGAAAACCAGCAAACGAAAAACAAAGTTGACCCCGAAATACCCTCTTGTACAAAGGAAAACTCAAATGGGATGTAGTATATTCTAATTGGTTAAGGTGATCTGCTAGAAATAAAGATCAATTCTCTTTGGAAAGAGAAAACTGTGATATTTTACACTCTGTTTCTGGAATTTAATTTGTTTTCCAGAAGAAAATTGCTCCCATTTATAACATACAGCTAGTATAGGGTAAGTGATCACATTGTAAATACATGTAAAACTGGGTGAAATATACAAGGGTGTGTGTTTAGGTGTTGGATCCCTAAGAACGGGGTTACTCATAGAGTGAGTCCCATATCAGATCTCCTTCTCTGTCTGGGGACAATTCCCTGACTGTGTCACAGCAAGCCAGAGTCCAAGCGGACCACTATATTCCCAGGGAGCTGAGATGGCAGAGGGAACCTCTCAGGAGTGGTGAAGCAGTTGGTGTTTATAGAACTTTGACATTGGAAAATGAAATTATGCAGTGGGAGAAGCAAGGGTCCCCTCTGATTCCCAGACTGAGGGCTTGGCCCCTTATGCCCAGGGAAAACCTCCCTAAGCTTGTCAGAGAAGGGATGAGTTGAGAAAAAACAGGAATACTTGTGGTTGAGCAATTCTGAAGGCAGTTGGAGATCTGACCCCAGCAGAAATAAAAGTCTACTGAGGGGCTGGTAAAAGGGGACAAACTTTCCGTTATAAGATGAGGAAGTTCTGAGGATCTAATGTATAGCATGGTGACTATAGTTGATAACAGTGCATTGTATAATTGAAATTTACTAAGAAAGTTGATCTTAAGTGTTCTCTTCAAAAAAAAATTTCAAGTGTGATAGATATGTTAATGAACTTGATTGTGAGAATTCGTTCACAATGTGTAGGCTATCAAATCATCATGCTGTACGCTTTAAATATATTACAATTTTATTTGCCTATTATACCTCGATAAAGCTGGATAAAAGATCAAACCAGTTCAAAAAAATAAATCCAAAAGGTCTAAAACTTTTCACGCAATAAAGAGTAAGTAATAGAAAATGACAGACTTGAGAAGAAATAAGAAATGTGACGTATAGTCTAGGCAAAAGCCGTCTGTAGAACCAATCCCAATAGTTTAAATGTTGCACTCAGCTGACAGTCAATTTAAGGCAGCTATGATAAGTATTCAGAAAAATTAAAGGAAAAATAAAGATTGAAAATATAAGGTATGTCAGCAGAGACCTGAAAACCATTAAACAAACAAATAAATGAAATCGTTCCAGATCTACATTACTTCTGGGTCATGATCTGTATCCAGAACATACGTTGAGGTTGGCATGGCAGTCATTTAGCCTGATGCTTGGAGCATCAGGCTTTCTTATTCCTTTTGTTGAGCATTTTTGGCTTATTCTGATGGAATAGAGGTTGCACAGCATCATTTGCGAATTTGGACATCGTGTATTTGACTAAAATCACTAAGACTAGGATTTCTGTGAAACTGTTCAAGACACTTCAAAGTCATGTTGCATGAAAACCTATCCCATTGTATATTTTTTATCTTCTTTAGATAACCAAGAGGGCTTTGCCCCGTAATTTGGATGTAAACTATTCAACTTCATCAACATCTGAACATGCTG